AGGAGGGTATTTTAAATGAAATTCTTAAAGATAATAAGCCATTTGTTACAATACATATTGACCATTTAGGGCCAATGACGAAAATTGGGTCCGCAAAGAAGCGACACATTTTATTAGTAGTGGACGGATTTACAAAGTATATCAAGCTGTATGCAACCAAAACCACGAGCACTTCGGAAGTAATTAAACATTTGAAAAATTATTTTGCAACTTATAGTAGGCCAATACGCATCGTTTCCGACCGGGGTAGCTGTTTTACCTCCCGCGAATTTGAGGAATTCACGAAAGAGCAAAACGTGGTGCATATCAAAGTCGCTACGGCCTCGCCGCAGGCTAACGGGCAGGCCGAAAGAATGAACCGAACGATCATTCCAATAATAGCGAAACTCGCGGACGAGCGAAATTGTCATTGGTACGACACATTAGAAGATGTGGAATATGTGTGTAATAATACGGTGAATAGATCGACCGGCGAAACTCCGAGCATGCTGCTGTATGGGGTACAACAGCGTGGTCAAGTTATTGATAGTTTAAGAGACGCGTTAGAGATAGCGGGAAAAGTCGACACTGACCGAAATTTAGGCGTGAAGCGTAAAGTAGCAAGCGAGCAAATAAAAAAACAATTTGACGCGAACAAACGGAACTATGACAAAAAACGAAAACCGGCGCAGCAATATCAAGCCGGAGATAGAGTGATGATAAGAAATTTTGAACATAATAGTACTGCGGCGAAACTGGTTCCTGAATTCAAAGGTCCTTATGAGGTTGCGAAAGTTTTGAGAAATGACCGATACATTGTTAAGGACGTCGACGGCTTCCAAGTGTCTCAAATCCCGTATCAAGGGACTTGGGCGGCGGCGAATATGCGTCTCTGGTTACCCCCGAGAGGGTAGGAGAACTAGTGTACTCTGTAAAGTTAAAATAGTATAAACACAGATTAATCGGGACGCTTAATAGTCAGGACGGCCGAATTGTAGGCATCGGCATGTGCCTTTGCTGTCCCGACGGTGGCTTTGTTAGTAACCGGCACGTGGACACGTGGAGACGTAACCATTGTGTCAGATATCGTCGTTGTGCCGCCGAGTCGTCGTTGCGACGCGGGCCGCCGACATAGGCATGAAAGACGGATACCGCTTCCGTGTGATCGACATCTACCGTCGATGACGATTCACCGAACGCGGAGGTCCTGTGTGAGAGTGTGTGTGTGTGTGTGTGTGTGTGAACGAATGCCATAGTATATAAGAAAGACGACAGAAGCGGGGAGGACTCTTGTTTTGTACCGACTCCCGTCGAAGTCAGATCGACTCAATAAACTGTTTAATACACTAATCATTTCCTCCGCTCGACCCTCCTACAAAACAACGATCAAAGGGAAAAGGACACCCGTAATGCGCGAATTTTTACAAATATTTTTCAATTTATTTCAAACAGTAAGGGTGTAGCACATAATCTGACTGCGTCAGCAGATACAGTGAACATTTTTCTCGTGGAAAGCATTAACAGAAATGATAAGACACGTTTTGTGTTCAATACAGAAGCGAAATAGTTTCGTAAAACCTGTGACGCTGGCAGTAGTACTCAAAGGCGGCAAGCGCTGGCGTTCGACTGTCGCACGGCTGTCGCACGGGTCTCGCTCGACTGTCGCTCGGCTGCCGCCTTTAAGTACCACTGCCAGCATCACAGATTTTACTAAACTATTTCGCTCCTGTGTTGAACACAAAACGTGTCATACCATTTCTGTTAGTGCTTTCCGGGACAAAAATGTTTACTGCATCGACTGACACAGTCAGATTATGTCCTGCACCCTTACGTTTTGAAGTAAATTGAAAAATATGTGTAAAAATTAGTGCATTATGGGTGTACTTTTCCCTTTGATCGTTGTTTACATGTTTGAATGTTGATAATGCGATAACAACGTATACCATTTTATTCGGGAGAGTTCATAGAATAATTTGACGTAACAATCAACTGAATAATTATTAATGTTTGAACACAGAAGATATTAGAAGTTGAAAATTTGCATTTTCTTTAAAATCCAATTTCTCGGAAACTGAGAGTGATGACAAAATACTGTTTACGGATTTGTATTCAGCACAACAAAATGTAAAAGAATCGGTATAATTGTTCTTTGGAACAAAAATCATGTTGACCAGTGTTATTAATGTCGAAAATTCATTAATTTAGGAGACATTTAATCTCAATGTGTATTCCAAAGCGATTGTCATTTCAGGAAAACTGCAGATATACTTATGTAATTACTATAGTCTGTTATCTAAAGAAGATGCCTGAGAGGTTGGCCTGCCTCGGCGCGTGGTCTGGTGGGGATCCAACGCGAGATACGTATTTCGTGCGACGTTGTGACGGTCTCAATGCCACTGTGTGTCACTTTCCATCCTCAGGCACTTCGGCACGAGAGCCTCTCGCTCAGACGTTCGGTAAACCGACTTCCTTCTTTACCCTGCGATTTCCACGTGTAGTGTTTAATAACCTACGTATTAATTTAATCCCCTTTTAATCGGTTGCTCAATATTTGGGTGCAATACATTCTTTCAAAAGAAATAAACTTGTTCTAATTCATGTATTTTAACTCTTGACGTGTGAAAACGTTCAGCGTCTCGTCAACATTCCCCGCCATTTCCAGACAATGGATGATTGACGGACGCGTGCCGAACGCAGTTCCCACTCCTTGAGATTGTAGATAGGTCCTTCTCGAAAGGTTTGTAATACGTGCGATGGAAACAGACGACCGTAGGCGAGGACTCACGTCGACGGTCGCACGTCATTGGCCAAGAGTGAGAGAAACACAAGTGCCGTACATGTCTCACGATCGCGGCAACACCGCGAAAACTCGGGCCTACCTACCAGGCATCTTCTTTAGAAAAAGAGACCATAGCATCACTTTGCAATATTAAGATTAAAATATCTTCCAAACTAATGATGTTTCTACATAAATAGATTAATACTTTTTTGTAGGGATTGCAAAAAAGGATAGATAACTGTATTTAAAACTACGCGATGCCATTTAAAAGAAACTTATATCACTATTTTTTTTTTTTTACGGGGGAACATTTTGAAAAGGTGATACCGTCTTCGCTGGGGCGGAGACGACCTGTGCGGAATTTCACCACGCAAAAAACCCTTCGGTGACTCTCTCGGGCGTGACGACCGGTCACGAGAACTCCGAAGTAGAACTCTGCAACCGGCCCCGCCTGTGCCACACCCCCAATGCGCAAAAGAGGGGGGGGGGTACAACACTCCTCAGTAGGAAAAGGGGCTTCTGCTCCCCCCTGGGACGGTTGTGAGACCGTCCCTCCACCACCTTCGTACTAAGGGGTGGTACCCTCAGTACCACCACCTCAGCCCGGGCAGACCCGCGAGCAACGCGAGGGGTCACCGCGGCAGTGACCCCCTAAACTCGCGCGCCCTCGGGTCAGCCGGTTCACGACGACATTGTCGGCACTCAGCCCTCGCCTCCGCCCCAATCTTGTACAGGTACTTACCGAAACAACCATGTCTAGTGAGCACCTGAGTAATGCGGTAGGTAAAGCTACCATGGCCACAGTCCAATCATGTGTTACGCCCCGCGTTGCGGTCGATACTTTATTTATAATTTCGGGTCCTGGCTCTTTTAAGGTGCTAAAGCATGACCTGTCTAAACTTATCGGTGAAGTACGCAGTTTGGATATGGAACGAGAGGGATAGGTAATCACTCCCGTTTATGATAGTAACAAAGATATATTCTAACAATCCAATAAATGAAAGATACAAATAAGTCTTAACATACCAATGACCATGAGGATGAATGACAGATTCACGTTGCTTTCGATCGGTTCGGTCGGAATTTCGGATTCTTGAAAGGGCGGAAAACTCGCTGGCCCTCGGAGCCGTGATACAGGGTTTAGGCACTGCGGGATACGTTGTCGCCATCTCGGACCTTGCTCTTCGGGGTCCGGTGTCTTATAAAACTCCTCTGTAGGCCGCGCGTAATCGCAAGGTCGCGTCGCACGAGGGATAGATATCGTCGCGGAACCCGAAACTGAACAGCCGAGTGATCGTTATCGCTTATTAGAAAACGTGGAAAAAACGGGGTAGCAACAGGCTGTGATTCGCGGTCGTTGAGTCATCGAGGCGGAGTTTTACAATCGCTGACGTTTCCGTCAGTGTCTCGAGGAAGGACGACCACGCCCGTTGTTTTCATGTGCCGCTGAATTGGCGGGTTTCGCTCGTTCTTCGCATTTGAAGGTTATAAGATAAAAATGTGCAATGAAAAGAGGTTCTGAGAATACATGATATAACACATGCATCAAGGCACGGGAGGATCGCCCAGACTGCTCGCTTGCGCGCGGCGCAGCTCGCGGAGCAGGAGCCGGCGCAGGTCGCCCTGTGCCCGTCCGCATGGCTGCACACAGGCGTTCTATTCGGGCCATCAACAGCTCCTCTATTGCGGCAACGTACCTCCCCACGCTGCCCCTGATTAATTCCTCCACCCACGCTTGTGTCTGGGGGTGCTTCCTCGACAGCGCCCTGTGTCGCCGCGCTAGCGGCATTTCTCCCCCGTCCGACGAGCCAAAATCTATCTGGGTCTCGTCCCTCGGTGCGACCGACTCTGCGGAGAGCCGAGCCCGAAGCTCACCGAGCTCACGCTCTAATTCCGCTTCCCGCGCGGTTCCCGTCGCCCGATTGGCCTGCTCAGCGGGCACGTGTTTGACATAGAGCGCGGCCTTGCTGAGCAAGCGGAAACTCGTCCCCTTGAGATCGTTGCTGGTCCTCGCAACCTTTTTAACAACCTCAAAGCGGTACAGAATGACTGTCCCTAAATCCGTCGCGGGGAGATGCTGCATCACAGGGCCACTTCCTCCGCAAGCGGGAGGGCCATGCAAGACTTGGCGACCGGTAGCGCACGCACCGACCAGTCCTCCAGGTCTCTCGCCTCCCTCTTCCACCGTTCCTGGCGCGCAGTCTCCAGGAGCATACGCTTGGCTAGCGCCAAGCCCACGAAGTCCTCCGCGGCTGGGGTGTGCCTCCGCTTCCTTGTCGCTATAACAGCCCAATCTCTGGCAGCGCTCGAGCGCGACCACGTCGCCGATATGATCGAGGACGTGTCCAACTCCACGCTACTGCTCCGCTTGCTCCTTCGGGAGCCTGTGGGTCGGGTCAGCCAGACATCTGGCGAGGTCAACCTTCGTGCACCACCGGCGGCGGTACCAGTGTACGGCGGTGCGGCGGTCTGTACGCGTCGGTACGGTTAGTTAGCGATGCGGCGGTGAGCGCGCACGGTCCGTGACGGGGTGAGGAGTGGGGAGGGATCTAGGCGGTTTCCTTGGCCGAGAGCGGCCAGCGGCCATACTGTAGGTCGAGTGGAGGACTCTTGGTGTCCCCGTCCCCTTAGTGATCGCTTATGGGGGAAGAGGGGTCGGGATGGCCCAGTCAGTGGGGGCGAGCCAACACTGCCGAGAGGCCAGCAGATAAAGGCCTCCTTCGTTCGGTCGGACAGCATCCAGTCTCACGAGTACCTTGGAGGTATTCCGGCCGTCGGTATCACCGGTTCGCGGGGAGTCGAGATCTGCCCCGATTCAGTGATGCCAGAATCGTGGGACGCCTTAGCCCCACCACCCCCCCACTCCGACCTACCATCGTCTCCCACCATGGCCTTCCACTTTACGTCCACCGTGCTGGCACACACAAGCATATCCCAGCCCGGTCCGTGTGCGCTGGCCGTTCGAGAGACGGTGAGCTATATTTAGAAAAGAGTGGGGGTAAACCGTACCACGATTCTGACACTATTGCTGCCTTGGAAATCCTGTTCGAATATCACCGCGGCGAAAATTCACGTTCTCGACGCGATACCCCGCAACCTAAGCACGTGAGCAGTCAAAAGACCCTGTTCAAATCCTAATACGCCGGTTTTACTTTTTATTTTTAATTATTTTATAATTTCACTTTGTAACCTCTAAGTAAAATAAAAAAGTCAAAAAATATTAATTCGGGAAGCATTTAAAAAGAAGAAGATAAATGTTTTCCACTTCAATATCTAAATCTTTTATTAAATACATTGTTCAGGGTTACGCGAGAGGCCGTCGTGACGTCAGCCTCATTTTCTGTTCCTCGCGACACGCGGATCGCATGTACGCCGCGTCTTCGGTAATCGTCGACCAAATTCGGCGATTTCCGGCTCGCGCGTCTCCAGCCGCGTTCTGTCGTTGCCTGGGCCATCTGTAGGTCGCCTCGTATGATCAACACGCCGTCCTTGCCTCCCTTACACGGGTCTTTTGTGCGACAAGTGTGCTCCTTGTCGCACTCACCGGTTGTTGACGTGCGAGGTGCCTACGTGACTTTTGGCCTAGCAACTGACCCGGATTACCGTTAATCCAACGGTAATCCTATTATTCGCAAATCAGCCGCCCTGCAGTACAGTGCTCTTTTTAAGACGCTTGTTCTTTGCCGGTTCGATCGAATCATCGCGCTAATCTGAAATCCCACGCTCAACGCTGTATTTTAGGACACGCCGCTCTATTGTATAATCGTTTCCCGTTAAAGTATTGTTTATTTAAATTGTTATTCGTGTACGTTCTGTTACTTATTAAACAAAACGTGTTCGACTACAAAGAGTAAAAACGACAAGTTTATACTCCCATTCTTTGTACATTTTGGTCCTTCGAGCCGGATGATAATAATTTCGCGACCACCAGCGGTCCGTTACAAATTATTCGGTAAATCTAACGGTAACGTGTGTCTCGTGTCGTGACTCGTGGTGACCCGACAAGGTGAAGAAGATGGCGGACATATTCAAGGAGCAGGAACGAGTGAAATACGCGATTGGCCGCGTCGTGGAAAACCTGAAGAAGAAAGGCGTTAATGATTATAATAAGGGGATGGTTACCGTTCGTCGAGACCACCTCGACACGTTGTGGCTCACCTTTGCTAAAAACCACGAACAGATCGAGTCAACCGCCACCGCCGCCCAACGACAAAGTCATGACTATTTCGTACAAGACTGGTACAATGAGACGAAGGAGGCGTACCTGGATGAAAAGGGCTACCTGAGCAACGTCCTCGATGAATTTACAATCGAGAGGAGCAAGGACACGAAGACCGCTACTCCTGACGCTACGATCACTCAGTTCCGTCCTGCGGTACAGCCAATGCAGATCCCGACCTTCGACAGGGACTATACCAAGTGGCCTTCTTTCCGTGATCTGTTCACCACCCTGATAGTCCGTAACCCCGCTATGATGAACCTGGAGCGCCTCCACCATCTGAAAGGTTGTCCCGCTGGCTATCCTGGGATGCTGCTACGGAACATGCCCCTGGAGGCAACGAACCTCGCCGCTGCTTGGACTGCACTGCAGGATTTGTATAACAATAAAGGGATCCTCGTTCAGCACCAGCTCAACGATCTGGATGCGTTACCCGTCATGAGGAAGCGTTCAGTGGACGAGCTCAAAGCACTTCGCTTTAAGACGTGGGACGCCGTATCTGTTCTCGCCGTTTTAGGACGCCCGGTCGATCGGAGTGCTGACTGGTTGGTGCGACAAACGGTCAATCGTCTCGACCAGCAAACCCGGATGGAGTGGCAAGTTTCCCTCGGCACGTCCACCCAACCAGCATCAATGGACACCCTCAAGGATTTCTTGGACGCTCGGATACTGGCCGTTGAAGCTGCTTCCTTACAGTCCGGTGTCGAGGTCCGCCAGCAGTCTCGAGTACCCGCGAAGGCCGCCAAGGTGCATCAAGTGTCCACTAAAAGGAGGACAGGTAAGGCATGTGACCTCTGTCAGGAGTTGCATTACATTTACAGCTGCCTACGTTACCGACAAATGACTCCTGACACGCGACTGAGCACGGTGAAGCGACTGCAGCTGTGTTTAAACTGCCTCGGCAAACACCGACTCGACGAGTGTCCCTCGGACAATCGGTGTCGCCGGTGCTCCACTAAACACGACAGCAGCCTTCACGACGCTTGCTCGCCCAACGAAGGTGCCACCGTCCTGCACGCTCTCCAGCACCGTTCTGATACGCCAACTGCCGTCCTCAGCACCGCCCGTGTCGGGCTATTCACTCCGATAGGCACCTCTATCGTGACGAGGGCGTTGGTGGATCCAGGGAGCGAGGTTTCGCTAATCTCCGAGACCCTCGCGCAGAGCCTCGGTCTGAAGAGGATGCATTCCCGAGTCTCGTTAATGGGAGTCGGCGGGACACGATCGCAGGTGTCACGGGGCCAGGTTTCCGTGCCCCTGGCTTTGGTGCGCGACGACGGACCCATCCTCAAGGTGACTGCTCTCATTTTACCTGAGATTTCAAGGTACCTGCCTCCACAGCTTCCGGGACCAGCAGCTTGGCCACACCTCGAGGGAATAACTCTCGCCAACCCCCACTACGCGGCCCGTGACTTCGTGGACGTGCTGCTGGGCGCCGACGTCTACAACCGCCTGCTGCTGGATGGTGTCCGTCGCGGAAGCAGCGATCAGCCTGTCGCCCAGGAGTCGCGGATGGGATGGATCCTGACAGGGGGACTGTCGAGGAGTTCGGGGCAGACAACCAGCGCTAAGGCTCTCCCTGGAGTCCACTGCTGCATCATGGATCGTGGGCTGGATGATTTGCTTCAGCAGTTCTGGCAGCAAGAAGAAGTGCAGGTGGTGGTGCCTCCTACCCCGGACGACGAGGCCTGCGAGCAGCACTTCAAGTCCACCTACCGCCGGATGCCAGAGCGGAGATTCATGGTCCGGCTGCCCTTTCATCCGGAACTTCACCTAGGCACCTCACGTCCAGCGGCGCTCCGAGCATTGGAATCCATCCAGCGCCGATTCCGGAACGATGAGGACTTTGAAAGGGCTTACCGAGCCTTCATGCAGGACTACGTCTCCCTGGGACATATGGAGGTCGCTCGTAGAGCCCCTATCGGTTCCCGTTTCTACCTTCCCCATCACGGGGTGCTGAAGGCCACCAGCACGACCACCAAACTGCGTGTGGTGTTCAACGGCTCACGTCCAACAAGCTCCGGTAAGTCCCTCAATGACTGCCTCTATACAGGGCCGAATCTACTCCCTCCTCTGGCGGATGTGTTCCTTCGATAGCGACGTCATCTCGTTACGTTCACCGCGGACATAGAGAAAATGTACCGCCAGATCCTCGTGCATGAAGACGACTGGGACCATCAGAGGATATTATGGCGGGCAGAGAACCAGGGGAAGGTGACGGTATATACCCTGTCCACCGTCACCTACGGTCTGGCTTGTGCCCCGTATCTTGCTTTGCGCTGCCTGCATCAGCTCGCCAGCGACGAGGAGTCCAGGTTCCCCTTCGGTGCGGCAGTCCTCAGGTCGGAGGTTTACATAGACGACGTTCTGTCCGGCAGAGCGACGGTGGAGGAAGCTAAAAGAAAAAGGGGGCAATTAAACTCACTCCTCAGGGCAGGCGGCTTCGTCCTACGCAAATGGGCTTCCAACACACCTAAGCTGTTGGAGGACTCCCAGGAAGCAGAGTCCATTGTCTCTCTACACTGGGACTCAGAGTCAACCCACAGCGTTCTCGGTCTCCGGTGGTTAGCTAATTCCGATGAGTTTCAGGTGCACGTCACTCAACAGGCTGCTGACCACCTGTGCACCAAGAGGACCACATTGAGCCAGGCCGCTCAAATCTTCGACCCGCTAGGATGGTTGGCTCCCGTCACCGTCTGGGCCAAGATATTTATTCAAGGTCTCTGCCTCCTGAAAACCGACTGGGACGCCGCGCTGCCCCCGCAAGAGGAAGGCCGCTGGTATAAATTCTTCTGGGAGTTGCCGGCTCTGGACACCATAAGGGTTCCTCGTTGGCTGGGATTATCACCGGACCAGCACCGAGTGGAGCTGCATGGGTTTGCTGACGCCTCGGAACGAGCCTACGCCGCCGTGGTGTATTTGAGGACCACCTGCAAAAGAAGGGACGTCAGAATCAGCCTGATAGCCGCCAAAACCAAGGTCGCCCCCCTGAAGAGGACCACGATTCCGCGACTGGAGTTATGTGCTTCTCACCTGCTGTCTCGGCTGACGGCCCACGTCAGCACTACCCTGGCCATCGACGCGGAACTACACTGCTGGACTGACTCCCGCGTCGTACTCGGGTGGATCCAGGGTCACCCCAGCCGATGGCCGACCTTTGTGGCCAACAGAGTGGCTGACATTCAAGGAAGGCTGCCTCACGCTGTCTGGCGCCATGTAAAGGGCGAGGACAACCCCGCTGACTGCGCGTCTCGTGGGATTCTACCATCGGAGTTACCCGACCATAACCTCTGGTGGCAAGGACCGAACTGGCTGGCCGTCACTACTGCCTGGGCACCTGAGACGATCGACGTCCATGAGGAGGAGGAAGGGGGAGTCATTCTCTGCATCTCCAGCGGCCAGGTGGCGACGACGAGGTGAGCACCCTCATTCGGCAGTTCTCCGACTTACGACGACTCCACAGGGTCATCGCTTGGTGCCTGCGGTGGTCGCCCTCTCACCAAGGTCACCGGTCATCACCCCTCATCGCTACGGAACTCGAGGCAGCCAGTGTCCTACGTCTCCGAGCGGCTCAGAGGCAGGCGTTTCCTCGAGAGGTGAGCAGGCTCCAAGGTAATCGCCGGCTCGACCCTCGAAGTCGGTTACTGAGGCTCAACCCTTTCATGGACGAAGAGGGACTTCTGCGGGTCGGTGGGCGCCTCCACCATTCCTCACTCAGCCTCCGTCGCAAGCACCCTTCCATCTTCCCGGACGAGTCACCATTGACGACCCTCTGGATCACCGATGCACACCTACGAACTCTTCACGGTGGCGTTCAATTGACCTTGAACCTGCCAGCTGATGGGTAACTTCCCTTCCGCACGAGTACGTCCGGGGCGAGCCTTCCTGCAAGTGGGGGTAGATTACGCGGGGCCAATTTCCATATTGTCCGCTCGTGGTCGAGGACAGCGGTCACGTAAGGGCTACATCGCTATATTCGTCTGCATGGCCACCCGCGCCGTCCATATCGAGCCCGTGTCCGACGGTACCACCGCTACCTTCCTCGCCGCGCTAAAACGTTTCATCGCCCGCCGAGGATGCTGCTGCGAAATCTACAACGATTGCGGGACGGTTTTCATGGGCGCTGATCGGGAGTTGCGTGATCTTCTCCGCGAGTGTCAATTACCCGGTCACAATTTCGTCACCGCCGTCGCGAGGGAGGGGATCGAGTGGCGATTCAACCCCCCTTCCGCACCTCACTTCGGGGGTATCTGGGAGGCCGCGGTCAAGTCCGTAAAACACCACGTGCGACGGGTTATCGGGGAGCAACTCCTCAGGTACGAAGAACTAGCCACTCTTCTAGCCGGTATCGAGGCTTGTCTTAACTCACGGCCGTTGCAGCCTCTCTCGGACGATCCCGATGACCTCGATGCTCTCACGCCTGGGCATCTCCTCATCGGGGCCCCTCTGCTGGCCGTGCCAGAGCCGAATCTAGAGGACGTCGATGCGCCCCGTATCTCCCGGTGGCAATGCCTGCAGCGAATGCAGCAGCGCTTTTGGCGTATATGGTCGCGTGATTACCTTAACACCTTGCAGACGCGTAACAAGTGGCTTAAACCACAACCATCGCCGTGCGTGGGGGACCTTTGTCTCCTGAGGTCGGAACTACAACCACCGACTCAATGGCCCTTGGCACGTATCTGCAAGGTGCACCCGTGTTCCGACGGGCTGGCACGGGTCGTGACGGTCAAGACTGCAACCACGGAATTCGTCCGGCCCCTACACAAGATCGTATTGCTGCCCTCGATATCGTGGGAACACGCGTAAATGGCCGACGACGCCACGCGAGACACGAACCGTACTCTGACTACGGCGTAAATTCGCTCTTAGCGCACTTGTATAAATGTAAATAATAATTTTAAGACGTAGGTTAATTTAGATTTAGGTTGGTTAATTTTCCAGTGGCACTAGAGTCCCACACGGCACTTTGCCGTTTACCACGCGTACGCACTCGACCACGTCGCACTTCGAGAAACGCTACGCAAACCACCGTATACTACACGAGTCGTATTCAGAATGAACTGCCGAACAACGCCGAACTCACCGTTCGCGTACACTCGTTGTCACGACGTCTCTCTTCCTAATCCCTCGTTCTCACTCGCACTCGTTGGTTATTTCGTCAACCTTGTGGCAATGGGATGCCAACAGTGTCTGACGAGGCGGGCGGCATGTTCAGGATTACGCGAGAGGCCGTCGTGATGTCAGCCTCATTTTCTGTTCCTCGCCACACGCGGATCGCACGTACGCCGCGTCTTCGGTAATCGTCTACCAAATTCGGCGATTTCCGGCTCGCGCGTTTCCAGCCGCGTTCTGTCGTTGCCTGGGCCATCTGTAGGTCGCCTCGTATGATCAACACGCCGCCCTTGTCTCCCTTACACGGGTCTTTTGTACGACAAGTGTGCTGCTTGTCGCATTCACCGGCTGTTGACGTGCGAGGTGCCTACGTGACTTTTGGCCTAGCAACTGACCCGGATTACCGTTAATCCAAAGGTAATCCTATTATTCGCAAATCAGCCGCCCTGCAGTACAGTGCTCATTTTAAGACGCTTGCTCTTTGCCGGTTCGATCGAATCATCGCGCTAATCTGAAATCCCACGCTCAACGCTGTATTTTAGGAAACGCCGCTCTATTGTATAATCGTTTCCCGTTAAAGTATTGTTTATTTAAATTGTTATTCGTGTACTTTCTGTGACTTATTAAACAAAACGTGTTCGACTACAAAGAGTAAAAACGACAAGTTTATTCTCCCATTCTTTGTACATACATACATATTATGTTGTATACACATAAATTATTTTTACAATTAGATGTTATCCTTACAACCCTACTCATTACTACTCTGAACATTCGTACAAAAATCTATTAGATTAAAATATTACCTTGTAAGTGTATCTTCAGTCTTTTAAAATTTGTTGGCTTTACTTTCATGTCAAAAGCGACTCAATAACTATTACTGTAGAAGCACCACATTTCTTCAAAAATGAAATTTTTAAGTTTTATTTTAATTTGATTTCTTCAAAATGAACGTGCTGTGAGAAAACGGTTCCCAGATTCGCATTCACTTCATAACGATTTATCAGGAACGTTTATTAACAGTTGTAAGGTATTTTACGTGTTGAATAGTGTAGTCAGAGATGTCAGGCTTAGGGGGTCCATTTTGAAGTTACTATATAATTACAATTGTATTATAGTCGCTTGTGCTTGTATTTCTTTCGCCGTACTTCCGCCGCGTGTATTTTTTTCGCCTATAATTCTTCCGCGTAATATCTTACATTTCCAGCGATGGATTTTTTTCTATCCAGAAAAAAGATGAGTTTACAATAATATTTATATTTTATCTAACACTATGACAATTATGATTATAATTATATTTATGTATTTATTTCTTTTTAGATATATACATAAGCAAAAGACTCGTACTTCGTTACTTTCGTTAGCTGCGATACTTCTACTCAAACGTGAGGAAGCGAAATTACAGAATAATTCAGAAAAAAAAGATAAGTTCATAACAATCTTAATATTTTATTTTATGTTATTAAAATTACTATTTCAATTGTGTTTTTTTCTTTTCATATGGCGAAAAGCAAAAGACCATTCGGCATCGTATATACGTGGACCAGCTGCAGCGGTTTTTTGTTAGCGGCGAAATATATCATTAACAAAAAAAAATGAATTGTAAAAATGCTTCCCGAATTAATATTTTTTAACTTTTCATTCAAACTTAACTTAGAGGTGGCAAGTAAAGCCAACAAATTTTAAAAGACTGAAGATACACTTACGACGTAATATTTTAATCTAATAGATTTTTGTACGAATGTTCAGAGTAGTAATGAGTAGGGTTGTAAGGATAACATCTAATTGTAAAAAAGAATTTATGTGTATACAACATAATATGTATGTATATAATAAAAAATTTAGATATTGAAGTTGAAAACATTTATTTTCTTCTTTTTAAATGCTTCCCGAATTAATATTTTTTAACTTTTTTATTTTACTTAGAGATTACAAAGTGAAATTATAAAATAATTAAAAATAAAAAGAAAAACCGCCGCATTGGGATGCGAATAGGGTCTCTTGACTGTTGCTCACGCGCTTAGGTTGCGGGGCATCGCGTCGAGAACGTGAATTTTCGCCGCAGCGATATTCAAACAGGATTTCTAAGGCAACAATGATTTCAGAATCGTGGTACGGTTTACCCCCACTCTTTTCTAAATATAGCTCACCGTCTCTCGAACGGCCAGTGCACACGGCAGGGCTGGGACATGCTTGTGTGTGCCAGCACGGAGGACGTAAAGTGGAAGGCCATAGTGGGAGACGATGGTAGGTCGGAGTGGGGGATGGTGGGGCTAAAGCGTCCCACGATTCTGGCATCACTTCCTCGATTGCGTCTTGCGTCACGGTATTCATATGCAACGGGACACAATCGTGACAGCGAGAACCGCGAGGCAGGCGAAGCCATCTCGCGGTCGCGGCGGCAGTTGCCTCATGGTACCTCGGTGACGTCACATGGTGACGTCGTAACGACAGAATCTTGTCAAACTCAAATGCAAAACTAGAAATATCTCATAAAAAACGACGCCTTTCTCTAGAGAGTAGTCCCAGCTACAAACCAGTAATTTATTGGGCTGTCATGGAAGTCCTTGCCACTATCAACCAGTTTTATTTTTTTTTTTGTATTTATCAAAACTTAATTTGCATTCCACTATACAAGGTGTCTCAATAATGTATCGACTCCCGGAAATGTGGGGTTCCTGGGATGATTCGAAACAACTTTTCCCTTAGCGAACATGTTATCCGAGGAATTGATAACGATATATTAACGAAAGACCCCGAGCAATTAAAGCGCGAGTTTGACAGCCGAGTCCCAGCGCTGCACTTGTATTATGAAGTTCCGAACAAGCAAGTCGGCATGCATCCCAGGAAACTGGGTATAATAGCAAATAGAAAAGACGTAACAAATCGAACTTTTTATCATGTTCTATTTGCCATTTAAAGCAGGCATGTCAAACACGCGGCCCGCGGGATGCATGCGGCCCGCCAATACATAGGTTGCGGCCCGCTGAGACTTTTTAAATATTTTTAAATATCAAGCTTTGACGCTTGAAGTTGGAATCGGATGGAGGCGTCAAATGAAAAGCGGCGGTCGAAACCGTACGGAGATAAAAACACAAGACGATCAGAAACATGATAGAACGCGGAGCGATCTAATGCGACACACGACACATGTTTGTCCAAGTCGTCACAAAGTGCAGTGTTTGCTCTATCGTTTGCGAATGATATTTTGAACTCTAAAGTGGATTTTGGTTTTTATTCATATTAAACTAAAAAGTTATTTAATAAAAATATAATCAACCTTCAATAACAATGAGTAAGAAAAGATCAATTGAAGAGGAACATCGTAATTTTCAAGAAAAATGGGAACTGCAATATTTTTGTTTCCAAAACAAGAATAAAATATTATGCCTGATATGTAAAAACTCTATTTCAGTTGCTAAGGAATATAATCTTAAAAGGCACTATGACACAAATCATAAAACAAACTATGACCAATACGTTGCAAAACTTCGTGAAGACAAATTGTCGGAATTGAAATCAATTCTTCAAAAACAACAAAGTGTATTCACTAAATGTGTTGAAGACAATACAGCTGCTGTAAAAGTTAGTTATATATTATCACATTTAATCGCAAGCAGATCGAAACCATTTACTGAAGGGGAATTTATTAGTGAATGCTTAATTAAAGCGGCGGAAGTATTATGTCCAGCACAAATAAAGAAATTTAAAAGTGTAAGTTTAAGTCGAAATACTGTAGCTAGCAGAATTGATGAAATAGCCGAGAATTTGAGAAATCAGCATAATTCAACAATATCAACATGTTAAGCCTACTCTATTGCAATTGTTGAAAGTACAGATATTCGAAATATCGCTCAGCTGGCCGTTTTTATTCGCGGATGCGATGTTAATTTAAAAATAAGTGAAGAACTTTTGGAAATCATTCCTATACATAATACAACCACTGGAGCTGATATTTTTGATGCACTTATGGAAGTTTTGAAGAAGTATAAGTTACCATTGGAAAAGTTCGTTTGTCTTGCGACTGATGGTGTACCTACCATGACCGGTATTACTAAAGGAGTTGTTGCAAGATTAAAAGAAACATGCAAACAGCATGGTAATAATAATTTTAAACATTTTAATTCTATTATTCACCAGCAAGTACTGTGCTCCAAAGTTTTAAATATCGGAGATGTTTTAAAAATAGTCACCAAAATTGTAAATTATATTCGAGCACGTGGACTTAATCATCGTCAATTTGCTTCATTTCTGGAAGATATAGAATGTGAATACTCCGATCTACCATATTATACGGAAGTTCGATGGCTTTCGAGTTATAAAGTGTTAAAACGATTCTTCAAATTGGTAGACGAAATCATAATTTTCTTGGAAATAAAAAATTATGAATGTGCTGAATTAAAAGATGGACAATGGGTAAAGGACCTGGCTTTCTCAGTTGATATTACAATCGCTCAGAATTGAATCATCTTAATCAACTTAATCTTAAGCTTCAAGGCAAAAATCATATTGTTACAACGCTATTTGATAATATTAACGCTTTCAAACAAAAATTATTACTTTGGCGAAAACAACTAGAAAAACAAAACTTATCTCACTTGGAAAGTTGTCAATATCTATTGATTAAATCACCTAAATTGAAATTTACAGAATATGCTCACCAAATTAAATTGTTAGAAACGGAATTCGATCGAAGATTTTCTGATTTTAAAAGCTGTGAATTACAATTTCGTCTTTTTACTTCACCTCTATCTATCGATATTGAAATTGTTGATGAAAACTTACAAATAGAATTAATTGAAATCCAATGTGATTCTTTGCTGAAGCAAAAATGTATGGTAGTTGGAATTCCAGATTTTTATACATATTTATCTGTAGATCGGTTTCCTAAAATGTTATCGTTTGTTACGCGTATAATGGCTATGTTCGGAAGCACTTATTTATGCGAGCAACTATTTTCTTTAATGAAAAATAACAAAAATTCAGAAAGGTCAAGATTAACCGATCAACATTTATCATCAATTTTAAAAATTGCATCAGCTCAATATATTCAACCAAATTTTGATGACTTGCTTTGTGAAAAACGATGTCAAATATCTTCTCAAAAGTAATATTAAACTGTGATTTTGTTTATTTCTTATTATAACTTTTATTTTTGTGTTTTATAAAAAATATAAAATATTTATAGTTTAAGTTTAAAAAATAACATGAAATATAAAATGTCTATGTATGTATTGTATATTATATAATATACAATAAAATGTAAAATATTTTTTTAGTTTAAAAAATGACATGAAATATAAAACGACTATGTATGTATAATATACAATACATTGAGCTTGACATTGAGTCTAATAAATACATAATACAATCATTCTAAAAATCGTATTTTATTAATTTTTTGAACATTGAAAACATGCGGCCCCCAACTTAATACAAAATACATCATGTGGCCCGTAATATCATATGAGTTTGACATGCCTGATTTAAAGCGATGAATGAATGAAACATAAATGTAGAAAAACCATGTGTTACGTAAAAAGATGGATACATAATTTTTTTTTAAACAAAATCAGAAATCATTATTACTTGAAGATACAGGCTAAGGAATTTGAAAATTTTCTTTTCAAATAACGCATTAACGAAAAGGTAATGTAATAGAAAATGAACGAAAAGTGATCGGAGTTCGTTATTGACATAAAAATCCGTAGTTCAGTAACAGCCAACAATGATACTGATAACGAATAAAGAAAAATTTACGTATGAAAACTTGCAGAATTATTGCCGGGAAAAAGCCAAAGTATGCATTAAATTGACAAAATAATAATCACCAATAAATTGAATAGAACTCACCCTTTCGGAACTGCACCCCAGCGCACAGCTGGTCGCAGATATACGTTTCCACCGAATGCGAGTTGCGTGATGTAGGCGGTCTGCAATTGGGAAACCGTCCTAAATTGTCATTGGTCCTAACATATTCCCACCTAAAGTTTTACTACGGAGTTTTGGGGGTAGAAGAAGTTCGTTAGGCAATATCACAGACAGTATCTCGTGACATTCAGTGACAGTGAAACATGTATTCGTCGCAAGAATATTTTGGTATTTTTCTTAACGTAGGAACAACACATTCCTCTATGACAATAAATTAACGTAGGAACAACACGTTCCTCTATAACAGAGCAACACGATAAATAACAAAACTATTTAAAGTAAATAATATGATTCCGACAAGTGGACAGTGTTAGTGACCGTACAGTGAAGTAAACACCGTCAGTGCGTTGACCCGACCGCACTTGTCAGTACGTCTTTCGGTGGTGCCGTATACCTGCGACTAGCTGTCACCCAACATAAACCATTTTGTCCGTAGATGAACAGGATCGGTAGAGTGACCTACTGACACAAGTCTGCAAGCTGCAGGTGAATTTCCGAAAAGGTAAGTTCTATTCAATTTATTGATGATTATTATTCTTTTAATTTAACGCAAGCTATAACTTTTTCCCGGCAATAATTCTGCAAGTTTCCGTACCTACATTTTTCTTCGGGCTTCTTAAAGACAATTATTCGTAATCAGTATCATTGTTGCACATTACTGAACTACGGATTTTTATGTCAATAACGAACTACGACCAGTACTACATTACCTTTCCGTTAATACGTTATTTGAGAAGGAAATTTACAAATTCCTTAGTCTCTATCTTCAAATAATTATTTTTTTTGATTCTGTTTAAAAAAATAATTGTGTATTCGTCTTTTTACGTTTCACATGATTTTTCTACATTTATGTTTCATTCATTCATCACTTTAAATGACAAACGAAAGATGATAAAAAGCTCGATTTGTTACGTCTTTCTTATTTGCTATTATACGCGGTTTCCTGGGATACATGCCGACTTGCTTGTTCGCAGCTTTATAGTACAAGCGTGTAGCGCGTGCGCGCAGCGCGTAGCCACCGCTAGCGCGGGAAATCTGCTGCAAACTCGCGCTGTAACTGGTCGGGGTTTTTCGTTAATATCTCGTTAACAAAGCCTCGGATAACATTTTCGCTAAGGCAAAAGTTGTTCCAAATTATCCCAGGAATCCCGCATTTCCGGAAGTCAACACATTTTTGAGACACCCTGTATAATCGCCGTCATTGTCAATAACATTCATGCATCTGCTCGGCAAATTCTGAATGCCTTTCTCCCAGGAAGATCGTGTCTTGGATTCAGGAAAGTCACCAATATAATTTTTTAGGGTGGCATAATTGTGAAAGTTCTTGACCACCAGTTGTCGTTTAAGAACTCGAAACAAGTGAAAGTCCAAAAGTGCAATGTCCGGACTGTACGGTGGGTGAGGTACAGGGTACAGTGGACCACTCAGGTCCTCCAGATGCTCACGCGTCAACTTTACGCAATAACGTCGAGGGTTCGCACAGAATCGACTAACTTGTGGAGCTGATCCCTGTAACGATTAGCGTGGATCGTCTGGTTAGGCACGATTATTCCCTGCGAGACCCAAAAGACTGACAGCATCAGCGTACAGTTTTGTGGATCGGGCTTTGACTGGACTGGCGAATGCTCGCCGCGAGAAGACCAAAAGACGTGGTATATGTCGTTTTCGAAACGTAACTAGCTCTCATCTCCAGTAATTATTTCCCTGAGAAAGTCCTGCCAGTGCGTGCGGAGCAAAAAAAAACGTTGACAAATGCTGGCATCAACCGCCCGGTCATGGTCGAACAACGTGTGAGGCGTCCATCATGACATCACTTTGCGGTAGCCCATCGAATTAAGGTGGCGATCGATGGTTGTACGAGGTTGCCGAAGAGCCTTCTCCAAATCTCGCGTGCTAGAATCTGGGTGCAGCTCGAGTTCGTTGCGTAAAGCATCTTCGTCGAAGGTAGCTGGCCGGCTAGAGCGAGGTTGGTCTTCGCGGCTTACATCGCCTTCATCGAAGCGCTTATATCAGGAGCGTACCGCTGTCCGATCGTTAATAGTACCCGATCCAAACGCAGAGTTGATCTTCTTAGCCGTCTTCATTGGAGAGGTGTTAAGCCAGTGCTCATATGTATAACATAATACCTAAAGGCGAGAACGTTCGAAAAACAACGAACCCGGTGAAGACTTATGGGACAGCCAAATAGAACAAATCGACAGCTTACAATAAATTTATCCACTGGTTACTCAACTACATCCCAGGTGAAATTCTTTAAGAGAGACTTGTACGCCCAACGTATGGCATCCTTCCAATGTGTAGATTCTAGTCAACTTAAGAGTTCTTTTCGTGGATACCTCTGTAAGATTTGAGTCAGATTTGACCAAATCTATCATCCATTTCCGTTTGTACTAATGATTCTTTAGGCGCTGCATACATTTTCCGTGGCCGTCCTGGGTTTCCCGTTCTCAGCAATTTAGGTCTACCAACTCTTCTTATTGGCGCTTGAAGTCTTCTAGTAGCCTCATCTTCTTCCTCGTATAACTTGAACTCATATTCTTCATTATCTATTTTGACTTCATTTTCAACAGACTCTTGGACATTTGGATAATTATCAATCTGACCATCCCCTGTTTCAGAATTCAGCACGCCTATCATCCGTTTATCAGTTGGACTATGCCAATCGTTAATATACGGTTTGTACCCTGCTAGGATAGTTTCGTCAATAAATTCTTCATAATTATTGACACCCAAAAATATATCAAAAAATTTGACATCTCTCGTAATAGTAATCTTCTTCCTGTCTGGAATCCAAACACGATATCCTTTAGCTGCTTTATTATTGCTTCGCAAGGGCGCGCTTGAAATTTTCCTTTACCCAAACGAGTATTCTGAACAGTATAGTTTCACAGTCCATCTTTTATACGCAGTATCTCCATCCAAAGAGTTTGATGGACACCTATTTCTTATATAATTAGCAGTATTCATTGCTTCTGCCCAAAATGAGGATGGTGATCTCGATTAAGTTCATTACTAACAATAAACACCTCGCTGTTTTAATCAGAGTTTTATTTCTTTACTTAGCAATACCATTTTGTTTTTGTGTGTATGGAACACTTAACTTTCTTTTAATTCCATGTAGTCTTAAATAACTGTCAAACTGCGAGTTGCAATATGTTTAAAATTCGAATATGTCATTGGCGCGCTGTCGTACAGCTGAGGTTTCCCGAGGTTTCGCGAGATTCCGCCACGCTCCTCGTTCGTGAAAATATCACGCGATGTCGCAGAATCCAATCCCGGCACACTTCTGTATCACGTGATGACTTACACCCAATCACCGAGATGTGTGAAAAAGGACTCTCGGTGCTCGAGCATTGTCCTACGCCGAGAGCCCACGGAATAGGAAGAACACTGGTACTATTCTCACGCGACAATTTGTACTTTACTTTTACTTCTTTCTTAATGAAACTTTTACTAACGGAATTGATGAGCCTTTTTTGATTAAAACGGCACCAAACACTATATAATTTCAATCATATTTATTTGCAATTTATCTCCAATGACTGAACACAGAGTCCGGTGCCGGATCATTTCTGACTCACATCGATAAGCTACGAACACAAAGTTACGGTGACTCGAGTTCGAAGCCCTCACCAACATTTTATTAATACAGTATCGATCGCTCGAGCTCGAGCGACCTTCACCGATATTGTACTACCACAGTGTGCGTGTATGTTGCTCTCGCAACCACGTGTCGCCACCACTGGCTTCTGTCTTTCTAGATGAGTAAATTTGACCCAAATTATGTTATGTTTGGTATCATTTTAATCAGAAGAATCTCACCAAGATGCTAGTAAACATTTCATTAAGAAAGAAGCAAAAATAAAAAAGTTCCATCCAGTTTGGATCCATTTGTTCCATTCCATTAGTGTTGCTGCACCGATACCAACGTAGGTAATCTTTCGAGCCTCCCTCGTTCAGTCGTTGGCTCGTGACACTGATGCCAGAATCGTGGGATTTTCGCGCGAGCGCTTACCCTCCATGCCTCCTGTGGGTATTTTACACAAGCATATTCTAGCCTGTCCGTGAGCTCTGCCCCCACTACGTCCTACTCGGCGACTCACAACACAAGCGTTTTCTACCTCTGTCCGTGTGCGCTCTGCTTCGGGTGTTCTCTGCAAAAGTCTACGTCACGCGTTTACGACGCGACGGCCGAGTAGCCCAAGCCAGGTCAAAAATCCCAAATCCCAAGCAACCTAAAATTTACGTCCTAAACACGGAGAGCTGCATGATTTCTCTCACGCATTCATGATGAAGACCCCGTCCGAAACCCCGTCCGAAACCCGTTCGAATCCCGATGCGCCGGTTTATTGTTTATTTTTAATTATTGCATAATTTCATTTTGTAATATGTCAGTAAAATAAAAACTTCGAAGATATTGATTTAAGAAGCATTTTAAAAAAATGGGAGATGTATTTATTCCTCTTCAATATTTAAATTTTATATTACACAAATACATATTCTCTTATGTATACACAAATTATTCGTACAATTAGATGTTACCTTCATTCTAAGTATTACAGTACATACATATGAAAACATTGGAAGAAAAATCCATCACATTAATATGTTACGTACAGTAAAATGAAAGCTTGGAAGATATTAATTTGAGAAGCATTTTCAAAATCAGATTTTTTTGTTAAGCTGGTCCACGCATATGCATTTTGTTGATTTGATGTCGGTGAGCATGGATAATATGCATGTACATACAACACATCGTCTTTTCTTTTTGTCCTGTAAATAATGTCACAAGTGTTCCGTCCTCAATATGGACTTTCTTTATTCACGGTATATTAATTTCTTTGGGCGGCTAAAATGCTTCGTTCAAAGTC